GTTTTCACAATTAAATCAGACACACACGGTGTCGGTATAGAGTATTTCCGACCTGGCTGAATGAGTAGACGAGACAAATTTAGTATACTTACGTCATACATATACATGTGTTGCCGTTATTATTATTATAATGTTTGTCAAACGCATTTCCGTTTTATACACATATATCGAACTCTCGGTATATATGCGTGCGTGTATTTAATTAAAAAGGTAGGGAGGGTAAGTCGAAACGAGGGCAGGGGAAATGTCTCCTCTGTAACATTCGGCCGATTTACAGTGTACAGCTGCTGGTGCTGTTGAGGAGAAGTAGCGGTGGCAGCGGTTGATACCCACAAAGCTCTATTGTTCGGATAGAAATAAATCCACAAGACAAGACGACTGTCAAACGCACGGTTTTAAACACGGTAAACACAACTTAAATAAAACCACCGTACATACACACACTCTGTACAAACATAATTATTAAGACGGTGGCTGATTCGCCATGGTTTCCGTGAAAAGCTCGAGTCATGAGACACGACTAGATTATCGCCGAGCAAACGATTGGAATTATTTGTATAATTGATTTAAGAGAGAACTTTTTGCCCCCAATCGTTCCGTCGTGTGGAGCTTTAAGGTCTGTAAGATTTAACAAAAAAAAAAAAAAAACCGAATCGATTAAGTCTTGATTAATTGTATACGATTTGATTGGATTTGGTAATAACTCAATAACGCAATTAATGCAAAAAACCTAACCTACATGATAATTGATAAAATTGTTAGCTAGCTTAGCTTACTATTGGCCATTCTTGTCATCGATATGCATCATTAATGATTAATTAAAAACAAGTGACATAAAAAAATATTTTAAATTTTTTTATATAATAAATAAGTTGTACGAACCAAATCCATGTGTTTAGCTTAAAAAGGATAATGGAATTACAAAAAACTATGGAATAAATATGTGATTATAATAAAAATATGGAATTTAATTAGAGATTTACAAAATGTACAGTGTAAAAAGTGGATGAGCTTAAAATGTAAAGCGTTGTATATTTCAGCATATATTTTTTACATTATTGGAAAAAAAAAATGATTTTAAATATTTTTTATTACAAAATGTGTAGAATACAAATTTTATAAAAAAAACCAACGACAATACATTGTTATTTGTTCCGTTATGGAAAAAAAAATGAAAACTTTACCTCCGCCGAAATAATGAATATTCGCAATGTAATGAAATATGTGTATAATTAATTACTACAGAAAACAAAAGCTGTTTTAACAACCGTGCGCATAACTCAATAATAAAGTTTGAACAAGTCAGCAACAATGTAAAAGCGATATTGGAATTTCCACAGATATTAAACGCACGTGCAACCTGTAGGCTAGGCGTCGGATATAGTCGGGGCGAGCAAAAAGCAGAGGAGTAAGATTAATTTCCGGTGTGTACTTAAAAATCCAAAGAATTGACCAAGTAGCAATAAGAGATATGGAGGGAGTAGAACAGAGCGCAAAAGCAAACCAATTCCATCACAGCTGATTTCCAGCAATTGGCTCCTTATTTGTCGGTACAATCACGGATTAAATAAAACCAGAATTATTTTCTTTTTAATTTTTCGGTCACACTGACCTGAAGTTATTTAGGTTTGTTGCTTACATTTTTTTAGAGTGCACTATCTGGTTTTATTTAATAATCTGTGGCCCTATACAGTATGAGATGAACAGCTAGGACTTGGCTCACTAACAGAGAGAGAGAGAGAGAGAAAATAGACAATTCTAAATAGATTTATGGGTTTTTCCCAGAAAGTATATATCAAAACATTATGAAAACTGTAATTAACTCAAGTTGTACGCCAAAAATTTCAACAAAAAAAAAAGGGAAAAGAGATTTTACCTGCTCGTCGTTGGGCCGTGGAAATCATTATGACTGTGACGCTTTTCTCGTCTAATGTATGTAGTGTGAAAAACTATCGCATCGGCCCCAATCAGTTAAATCCGAACAAGAGGGTAGTAGTAGTAGTTGTGATATGGCAAAGGGGTCACGCGCGCGTGGGGTGGCTGTGGGTGGACGGGGTGGTGGACGGGGGTGGTGCTTTGTACTTGCGAGCGTACCATTTATAGGGTCGGTTGAAGAACGACGCTGTCATGCATATTCGTCAAACGCACCTGAGAAATAATGTCCCCTTTTGCGCCTCTTTCATCCCCTCACCCCAACCCCACCACCACCCTTAGCATTAGCGCCCTGCGCTCGCTCCTAATGTGACACACGTCAGACGTTTGGTGTCAATTTATTTTCTCCACGACGACGACGACACGCATATTTTGATAATAATAATTATTATTGTCGCCCCGTTATTAATGTTGGTAAATGTACCCCCCCCCCACCACCACCACCACCCCACCCTCTTTCGAGGGTCGTTTTCTAACGGTCGGTTCTCACATGGCAAGCCGATGATATTATCTAGACAAACGTCTTGTGTACCACCTATATTATATGTACTTAGTATCGGTTAGTTGTTTTTGTAAAGTTGCCGTTTCTATATAATATTCTTCCACTGCAAGTTAATATTGTATAGAAGACATATAGGTACGCTTATAAGCCCCTCTTCGGTTGTATATTAACGACAAACATTGTAATAATCTTTTTATTAAATAAATAATACCGGCGGATAAGTAGCTTATATACGGTTGTTTGAAGTAGAACGTATGAAATTGAACCCTCGCCCCCGTGCCGGAAGTTGGTGTATAATAGTATATAAGTAGTACTCGTAAAGCGTTCTCAATAACGAGATAAACTTTTGTTTATAACCAATTGTTAGTAACGAGACGAAAATCTAAGTAGAGAAAAAACAAAATGTTTTCTCGTAACGTTTACAGTTCTCTACTTCACATTAAATATATATATATATACTCTTTTCAATCAACTGCGGAATAAGATATATTTTTATAAGTACCCGTACAAGAGTACATATACTTATTTGATCCCTAGACGTTACCGTGCAATCATCTAATCTGTATATATATATATATATATGTAATGATAAATTAAATACAACCGTCGATGGTTTATTCATAACCGAATTGGTACACATTATAATTATTACATTTAAGCGCCATTACTGAAGTCATTTGTGGTCCTAGTCCAAGAAATGTAACTTGCCAGCAAAAGTAGGAGCGCCCAATGATGTCTGGAGACGAAACCGCCCTTGGTCGTGGGTACAAATGGTTATTTTCAAACGGGCGCACATACCTCACAACTTAAATGTATATATATTGTGTGCTGCCATAGTGCGATGGCGAGGCGGTGGATTGTCAGCTATTTGAGTGCTACACAGAGTACAGTCGAGAGCCAGAATAGTGCATCACAACAAGATAAATAATAACGTACCCCATAGATAGCAGAGTGTAGGTGTACACATAGTGCGAGGGTGAAATAAATACATATATACTGTGTGTATTACGAAATTCTGCAATTCCACGATAACCGGATGATAAATTAACGTTAAAAAATAAAAAAAAAGCACGTTGCGCGGATTGTTGCATTTCGCGTTGGGGATGGGGGAGGGGGTGCTAAAGTGCGAGGGGTTGGACTTTGGTAGACATTAGCCGGTAGAAAACTGGTGGAGGGTTTCACATAAATTTCGCTTTTTTAACGACTAGCAAAAAAAAATGTGCGAAGCACTTTTCCCACGCGAGAATATGGTGAAAAAAAACCACCGACGTTGCTTGATGATGTGAAGGGTTGTGTTTTTTTTCCGTCTTGACGACGTTCAAGAAAAAGAGAGTAAATTTCGAAAAGTGGTAAAACAAAATGCTTGGGAGATAACAAAAAAAAAAAAATCCGCAGATCCACGCGAACGTACCGTACGAAAAATAATAACGGTCGGTAACTTGATGTTGAGAGAGAAAAATATTATAGAGGAAGAAACAAAAAAAAAAAAAACGTCATGTTAAGCTGTGCATAGAAATAAATAAACTTTGGGTACCGCGATGGCGGCGAAGTTACTCGCTGTAGATAACCTTATATATTATATATAGCGTTAATTCGAGGTACCGAAAGTAAGTTTGGCCCAAATTTATGGCGCCAAGTTAAATCGTAACTTACATTTTATTGTGTGCTCCTCCTCTCTGATCCTCCCCCCCTCCGACGATTTAATATATATATACATATTCTAAGTACCTATGTATATGGCTATCTCTTTACAAAAACTTTTGCATTCAAACCAATAACGGGCGAAAACTGTCTGTTCGGTGTAGCAAATTTGAATATTGTCAGTTTGTTGGCCGTTATTAAAACTGATTTGTGCTGTTTAAACTTGAAAATCAAATCAATGCGTTACTGTTGGTGTACTGTACAATGTGACTTGTATACAAACAAATAATATATCTAGCAATTTTTTTACTAGATAAAATTCCGGTTATTTTTGTTCTTTGAAGCGATTTAAATAAAAAAACTATTTCGTTTGTGCGTGAAACGCATTCGACTTACAATAGCAAATAGATGGTGTGTATGGCTATGGCGATGTATGTATATTATGTATATATAGAAAGGTCAATAACGTTGTTTATAGCTGTTCACATAAAAAAATTTGGTAAAAGGGCCAACTATTATGTAAATTCGGTCTTTTATGTGTGTGTTTGTCACCCCGCCGGATCGGTAAAATTGATTTCTTTGCAATATTTCCACTATAGGTAGGAACCTACATAATATTATTATATGTCTGAACCAATTCACGCGAGGCTATGGTAATAAAGCAAAGCTAAAAAACACTCCAGTTTTTTTTTTATTTATTTGTTTTCGATATAAACGCAATTGCTTTTGACCGGGTTTGTAAACTTCAAATGTCTTTTGGTAAACATAAAAAATATCACATTGCTACAAAGAAGAGGCATTTGAATTTCCGCCTGTTCCATATTGATTGAACGATTGAACGATAATCGAAACGGGTAAAGTTTTAAAAAAAAAATTATAAAAGTAAAAAGAAATATTTTTGTTTGGTTTTTTTTTTGTTTTTTACCTGTTGGCTATTCCAATTTTTCAGGTTAGACATTTTTTGAGCATTCGATGCGGCTATTTGCAGTCGGGTCTGTTGCATAATTTGTTGGATTAGGTCTAGCTGTTGTTTGGTAAAACTGTCCTCCGTCTCGGCTGTGCTCTGTGATCTTGTGCGACCACCCTATGACGATAAAAAATACACTAAGATTTAGTAATACGAATACAAGACGTGCATTACTAGTCCACGTAAATTATTCTTTATTCAATCAAATCACATTATCGTTTATTCAATTATAGTTTTTTTTTGTAAGCTGGTTATGTTTTGCTGACAAAAAAAGTTTTTTATTTGGTTTTTGTCGTTTAAACGCATTGATGATGGTAAATACAAGTATAAAGGATTTTTGCTGTAAATAAAGTAAGTAATATTTGTTGTACGATTGCATTTGGACGCATATCAGGTATAGTTTCGTCAAAATCCAACAAAAATAGCTTTTTTAATGGTTTTAAACATTTTTATTTATGCAATCTATTAGAACAATAAGCATAATGTAGATGTAATATTTACAAAGCGACGGTTGACAGAGTGAAGAGGAACTTGGACAGAGTTTCAGGTTCAGAATGTCTTTACAGAATCGGACCATCCTAAGTAGTCGAAATTTCGTCTAGCTTTTTGGTCTAAAATAAATCAAAATGGCTTTTATTCGGAGAAAAAATTATTTAAATTAAAAAAAAATCCCCTTCGTATGACAATTGACACGGTCGGAATTTATTAAAACCGTTTTTTTTCTTCCTAAACATTGCCAATTAAAAACTGCTTACATAAACAGACCGCATGCAATTTGTAATAACTATAATTTTTTGCCGTTTAAAGGTTTCATTGCCGCTGTCGCAGCAGCAGTGTTTTCAAGATGCTAGCCAGTTTAGAGCTAAGATATGCTTTTAGTTTGAAACAACCAGAGAAGATACATATGTTTGCCCTCGTTTAACCGTACCTACACTTTATACACGAGACAAGAACACGTGCGTATATTATAATTATGTGTTCTGGCACACGGTTTGATGCACACGCTTTACTCCGGCTGAGTATCGCCGTGTTAAGTCATCTCTTGTCTGCCTATCCTTTGTTACCATATATATATATATATATCTATTTTATCCCCAACAGGGTGCCTCTGGGTAGTAATAGTCGTCGTTTGACCGAGATCCAATGACGGGAAAGCAACCGGGCGTGTGGGACCGACGACGTCGAACTTAGGTTTCATTTCGTGACACTCGGCTCGGAAGTAATTCGAACTTATTACCTACTGAACGTCAGGCGTTATTTCTCCATTGTCTGGGCGCGTCCAGGACAAGACAGAAGGGTAGGGTATAACCGTGAATTTGCGCACATTTGTAAAGAGAAAGAGCAAGCTTTTCTACAGGGTTACCGCTAATCGAATATTCTCGGTTTCCGGTAAAGTAATACAAAATCATAGTCCAATGTACCCCCCCCCCCCGGAGCAAGTCTTCCTTACCTCTTTAGACGTACCTCTTTTTCAATATTAAACAAACGTTTAATTAAAGTCAAGTCTACATAGATGCGGCCTTTGTTCGTAAACTAATCAACGGGTTCGCCCCGTCTTTTAATTCTAGAGCTGACCCTTGCTCTTCTACGCTCGCTGGTTATGCTATAATTGCCTATTAAAATAGTTCATTGCCTAAGTACCGCGCAATGAGCGTTACTCTAAATTTGATTGTTTCCATGATAAACGCAGTCTTTTTTTTTGTTTCCCCAGTACATATACACTACATAATATGAAACTTAAGTACAAAAAAAAAATAGCGCTAGGTGTACCCTATATATTATGCACAGAGGTACGGCCAGGCACCGGACACTGATAACAATTAACGCGGGGAAGATACTTATCACACAAAAACGGAGGCGACCATCTTCTTAATTCTACAACACTATAATGCATAGATATTTAGGCATATAATAAACTAGATTACCAAGTGTAAATGCCGCCAATAGAGATAATTGAAGTTACCATTTTCGCCATCTCTGTGGGAATTAGAACCTTATCACGTGTTTGTAACTGTTTATAACAATTATAAATTCCGTTGATAACGTAGAGTCACATGTACATAATATATAAAACATGTTATTTTATCATAGTAAATAAAAACATGGATAGGACATTTCCAATTGAGGCCGTTTGTTTACAGTACTGCATGGTATCTTATTTAGATTATAAATAAAAATAAAGTGAATTCGTATCAATTTCGGCCTCAATTTCGTACACTTTATCAACCATGTATTTTATACACACATAAATGCCACAAAAATGCGGACGTCGACTTCAATTCTTATCATAAGTTAGAAATCTAGTTTATTATACATATCATATCTGTATCCTGTGTAATAATGTTATATCTATATACAATATTATTATTAGTATGTATAGATGGCCTTCGCTTTTAGCACTACATAGAAAGTGACCCTTGAGCTGCAGCTGTAATGATATGCAAGAGCTGGTTATTTTTTTTATTAAAATTAACAAACGTGTAGCGCTCAATTAAACTGTCGACGTTACGCTAATTACATTATATCATTAATCATCTCACTTGGGTATAACATATCGTGTGTCCTGTGCAATTCGCAGCTATCGCGTTTCTATTAGGTATAATATGATTATAAAATGGCCCAAAGAACCGACGCCGTGACGACACGAGAACCTGTCTATTTTAATTCGTTATCAGCTGCTGCTGCGTGTAAGATCATCCCTTTCATTAGCAGATACCGCCCCGTCGCTTCGTGTCCAAATATAATATGGCACATTAGATTACTTAGAAGTACTTAATATACAGATACCAAGCATCGAGTACAGGAAAAGTAAGGGACCGGATCGCAATGGTAATTTAATATTCCGCAGAAACTTACTGCGATAACAATAATAATGATAATAGGCTTTCCACAGTGTTTGAGACATTTATATACATATATATAAATATAAAATATATCTACTATTGTTATATTTTCTCTTCGGCTTTAATACCTACCCGGATGACATTGTATTATGTATCTAATTTCGCTGGCTGGTCCTATACCGAACCCTTTGTAAGGCGTGTGGGCAGCAGACGACCGGATTCTATTCTATTTTCTTCTCCTCGGACAATAACACTATAATAATTCCCTTGCCGATCGAGCACATTGGCCTCTAAGATGACCTACCTATACCTATATATTTTATTCGCCAGATGCACAAGCGATTACGGTCCCTCGTAATGGTCGTCCGCCTGCGTCTAAGAGCCTGTAAATATATATATTCTCTCCTTGGTCGCCGCCAAATCCATTATATAATACCTATATTCATTCGTTCTTCACGCCCTTCAGGTTTAACTTACACACACACACACACAACTACGGTTAATACCTACCGTGTGGTCTTGTATAAAAAAATTATCCAGTTATTACTACTACCGGTGAAATTAACTCAATTTTTGCTAGAGTTCTACAGATGGAACGGATGGGTCATTCCGAAGCCAGCAGGATCAATGTACACGTGGGTACCGCAGCACACTGGTATTCAGTCAGGACAATAGTAATTTATGGCCTCGCCCGAATCGATAAATTAAGATAAAGCAAACCGTTGAATCGAGTGAACTTCCGAATAAGTCTTATACAGACATTATCTATGCGCCGTGGACCGAATAAATACAAAGTATAGACGTACTATATTTTGTCTTAAAAGAAACGTTCAGTAAATACAAAAGGAAAATATTTAATCTTGAACGCAACGACATGAGGGAAAAATTATATTTTTTAAATAAACAAACACTGCCTCTTTAAGGAAATAATTGAAATAGTCAAAATTTCCCGAGGAGTGGATCAAGTAGAAGCAGTGAAGATTTTAAATGGGCCGATTTTTATCGATATTGCCTATCCTTTGCTCCTTAATAAATAGCGTTTTCGACGATGGCGTTCGGACTGAATTTTCCCAGCATGTAAAAAGTTTTAAAATTTGTTTTTGATTTTTGCTGCGCCAGCTGATCTACCGTGTTCGGTATGCCGGACAACAAGGGTGTCGGGAAGAAACTGCTTATTATGTATGCCCCAGGCGGTTAGGTGGATAGGTTAGGTTAGGCAATTATCTGTTTTCCGTTTAGAGGAATCACTTATGCACCCTATTCGGTACCGGTGTATGTAAGTATGCATACGTGATGCGCCGGACACCACAAGACCTTAAGTGTCGTCCATCTGTGTTATACCTTCGTTACGTATACAGGGTGAACCACTCGATATCTCACCGGGTTTAATTCATAATTTAATTTTTTTCCACACAATGAAGTAAAAGTATTTTTCTGTTAAGTGATCTCAATTTTCCACAATTTTATGCGTAATATATCTAACTCTAAAATAATACTACACTCCACCTTTTCTCCTACTCCAATATGACTTCACAAACAGTTATCCACAACTATAGTTACCGGCCATAAGGGGAGCTAAGGAAGTTCTGATCTTTGATAAAAAACTCTGAAAACTCCCTTAGAATTCCAGTAAAAATGATAAATCTTACTTTTTTCAGAGCCTGAACAAATTCAGAAGGATTTGAACTTCCTCAGGTCCCTCTATAGTTGTGCAAATGCTATTGAATTACTTTCGGCCATCCGAATTAAAGTGAAAAATAACACAAAACAACAAAAAAAAAAACTAGAGTATCCACACTACAAGCGGATACATAGACACATGTACATAATATGTCTTTACATACAAGTATAGGACCCTGGAACTTTTTGGTACTTTTCTTATCTCATATCTCTATCCTCTTATCTTTTATCTCTCTAATCTAGTGTCACTAATATATTACCTCTAATCTAGTATATCTCATATCTTATATCTAATCTATTATCTCTATTTATATCTCTAATCTAGTGTCCTTAATATATCTAATACATTCTTTATTTTTATCTATGAACTAGTGTCCCTACTTCAAGTCAAGTTGTGTATACAATAAACGCACTCGAGGATAGTGTTTAAAAAACACGTCTCGATCAAAAATATTAAATAATTGTACTCGAAGTAAGTTCACGTGTCGTCGCCGGGTATATAAAACTCGGAGTTAGTTGAAAACACCAAACCCGTATACAAGTTACTAAGATACTAATGTCTCGTCAATTATTAAGACCAAAACGGTTTTTCCGGCAAAGCGCTAAGTGGCGCGTTCTTTGGCAACTTTGGCGACGACCGAGTCCCTTATTTAATATAACCTAACCGATTTGCTCGGTTTCCGTTTTATTTCGCCCGCATAAATAACAACCCTAAAGAAAAAAACAACTTCGTATGGGGGGAAAAAAAAATAGGGCAAAGTTCCAAGTGGAATGGTCATAGAGAGTGAACATAAAAAAAAAAAATGAAGGTTACAGTATATACGGATCCATAAAAAAAAAACCATTAGTAGCGTCACACAAATAGAGAAAAAGAAAAAAAAAACATTAGCCGAGTAAGTTTGTCGTCGCCGTTGTACTTCTTTACAGTTCGGCGGCAATAGGGGCCATCTTTTTGTCTACTTTCCAAGCATATATACATACATAAGTCCTCTGTACTCCGAGACATGGAGACACATTAAGGCCAGTAGTGAGTAGTGCTGGCGATAAAACTGATGGGCGATTCAAGTCCGGGGATTTTGTGTGTTAACTTGGCCCAAAACTTTTGCACATGGACGTGTACGGTTTTTTTTTTCTTTCCGCACAATGTCCACTTTGTATATTATGTCTTAAAAAAATAGGCATGTCGCCATTAATAACGGTTGGAGATAATTCTTTAAAACTTTTGTTGGACTCTGTCATATCTTAAACTTTATACATAACGGTAAAAAAAAAATATGAACAATATGATATTTGATCATATTTACCTCTGGAAAAAGCTAAAGTAACTGTACAAAAAAATACAGAAGAAGACATTTGAATATATAATTGTAATTGGACACGTGTCATGTGATCAACAGTTGCCTTCTCAGTGAAAAACAAATACTTCAATTTTCGTTTTCGTTTATTATGATATTAATTTTTGATACTATATTATGTACACCGCCTTACACTTCAAAGCCTCTTAAAATTCTCGTCACGCACTTAATCGTCCGATGTAAAATGTTTCTCAACAAGTGCTTCCATAAACGAGACACGACGTCAATTATTATTATAATGAACCTTATTGATAATTCATCAAACAACACAGTGTACGGTTTGCTAAGTGTGCTTCGATGCGTGTTATTATCGTTTTACGATGATGGTTTTTTATTTTTTTAAAACGGTTTTTTTAATTTTATGCTCAAAGACAATTTCTTAATAGTTTGTCTTGTTGATCCGTAATCGCCGTGCAGTCTCTTTATCTTTTCTATATAATATAGTACTTTGTTTACACTTTGTGTATGAAGATTTATTTTATAAGAATATAAGAATTTTGATATAACCGGTTTTGTTGTCAATTTCGTCCTATGGCTGTTTTTAAAACTAATAATTACATTTTTCAAATGTTTTGGAGTAGCCACTGATTATGCTAGCCATTAAAGTCATTGATTATTATGGCTAATTTTGAAATAAACATAGTCAGACGGATGATTTTGAAACCAACCACAATTTTTCCACTATCGGTTTACATCAGTTATAACCTTGTTTGATGTTCAATATTTTTACAAACCGTGTAATACGGTGTGACCATTTAGGAAGTGCGAAAAGTTTACATTTCATGCAGATACGTATATCAATACATGGATATGTCCAGCAATCTAGTATCTCTAATATATTATCTCTTATCCACTATCTCTATTAACTCACCTCCATAAGCCTCCTCCATACTACTCCTTCATAGTCTCAACATGATCCTCTTTCATAATTCTTCATAATCCTTCTATACTCTTCCATAATTTCTTAATACTCCTTCATACTCCTCCATACTCCTCCACCATACTTCTTCATAATCCCTCCATAATCCCTCCATGATCCTTCTCCATAATCCATAACAACATCAGCACTGTGACACAAAACGTGATGGACAAATTTTCAGAATGACCCTCAGCCATAAGATAGATATCCATGTCAAAAACCTACCGTTTTGAAAAATTAGTCATAAAATAAATGCAAAACCGAAAAAATGTAGAGAATGCCAAGTCAGTTGCGCACTTTACGAATTTCACCGCTATTTTTGCTACTTTTTTTTTGTAAACACAAGTAATCAAGTTCTCAGAAGCAAATTCTAAACTTACCTTGCTAGACGTCGTCGGTGGGCTGTTGGACAGCGGCTCGGTGCTTAACAGCTTTTGCAGTTGGCTCGGCGAGTCCTGTGCCTGTGACTGCGGCGGTGGCAGCGGCGGTTGCGGTGGCTGTGGTTGTTTTTGCTGCACCGTGGTGGTGGACACCGTGCTGCTGGCGGACGCCGTGGTCGTGGTCGTGGTCGTGGTGGACGTCGGCGGGGACGCCAAAGGAGCCGGGGCGTATTGGATGCACCCCGAACCGGTGGACGAGGACGGCGACGCGGGCGGCGAGCCTTGGTTGGGCGGCGACGGTTGATGGTGATGATGGTGATGATGGTTCTCTGTGTGCCGGCGTAGGGACCTCGCGTCGCAGTACGACTTACCGCAACCAACCGCTTTGCATTCGAACGGCTTTTTGTGTCTGTGCGTCAGCATGTGTCCGTTTCTGTAAGCAAGTAAAACAAAACAAACAAACCCAGATCAATTATAAATTAACATAGCAAGGTGGGGGGGGGAGGGTGTTAATTTCAAAGTGATTCAATCACTTTCAAACGCTTCGATGCGAATCTGTATAAGCCAAGTACAGTCTGAATCAGTAGAGTGTAAATAAAGTGTATAAAGTAAGTGCAGTGCAATCCAAGTACAGTGTGAACTAGTACTGTCGAAATTAGTAAAGTTTAAACGAGTATATAGTACAAATCAAGTACACCATGTCTAAACCAAGACCAGTGTAAAGAATTACCGAAATGGAGTTTAGTGTACACAGATTGGCTGCGAAGCGTTTGAAAGTGATTAAATCAATAAATAAAAAACGACGATGTAGAATATGTACTACTCGATTCCAAAGAAGACGATGGGCGGACGATGAGTAAAACAACATTCTGACGGAATATCTCTACACTATCTTTTTATATAGAATAAATTATTACGCCCTAATAGCAGTGTTATTGCGAAATTCGCTCAAAGGGCAAACACAATTGTAAGTATTATTATTTTTTGTAGAATATTATCGGAAGAAACAAAATGTCCGTTCATCCGTATCGCGGCTGAAAAACAAAGTAATTGTTTTATTCTCTTCTCGTTGTTGTTTGCTTTCCGTACCCAAACATCCGAACACAGCAGCACTACACGGACTCTGGTGTTTTTTTTTGTTGTTTTTTTTCATTATTATTACTTTCCCTCCGTACCCACATATATAATTTGAAACGGCGGGATTTTCAGTGCTTATTATATACATTGCACACGAGCAACGGTCGGAAACGCTAACGACTATTGTATTCAAAGAACAATCCCCGGATAAAGTTTCTGCGGACAAGCCAGAAAGGCACAGAGGAGAAGGGCCGAGCCGTGTGTACATATAGTATAGTGATAGGCGTGGCGCTAATAGATTTATGGCCGTGTGTATTTCCAACATGGAAATTATTGCACCGGATTCTCTCTCCGGACAGGGGAAATTTAGTATTTACCCCCGTCAGTAGTACGCTCTGTGTGTGTACACCGTTCTTATCCCGTTGGTCGAGTCGAAGAACGTTTTGCTGGAGAAAATAAAAAACAACGAGCGAGGAAAACCCCCCCGAAAAAAAAAACTAAACTAAATCATTGACAATTGATGGGGTCGCGCAGCCGATATAAATCGGGAGAGACCCCGGGAAAACCCCTTCGCATCCCGAGTCTATCCCGGGCCGTCGACCTATCTATCCCGGGCGCTATTGAGAAACCAATTTTCGCCGCTATTTATCTCCAAAGGCAGGCAGGTATTCCAAGACCGATGTCCTACTCTGGGGATTTCGCCGGTTTTCGGGCGATAGGGTTCCTTTTAAAATATTATATCGAGTTAGAGCCCGGCAATTGTTATTCGCGCCCTTCGAGACGGCGGCAATCTCGCAATTTCATATTTTTCTGCAGTCGTTCGCCCGTCGAATAACGCCCACACAACGTTAGGTCAGGTAAATTGGGTTATATACATTATATATATATTTTTTTTATATTTCTACGCGTTATCTGGCTTTTTTTGTCGACAACATTTCGTTCAATTCGAACCGCTGTAACGTGAAATTAGAGTTCAAGCTTTTGTATTTTGCCCGTACCATACTGGACGTGGAATAGCACATGTTGGGGCTCAGATGGACTTGTTTTAAATTCAATGTCTTAAATGTGAATGTCTTAAAACTATCACGGATTGAACTCTTAGCTTGTTCAGTGTGCTTATTAATAAAATACTAGATGTTATAGAAGTACACTACATTTTATCATTTTAGTTAAGTTAGGAGGTATACATAAATGTGGGCTCATGATTTGCAAGTTTCAAGTAATCATTACAAAAAAAAAAAATACCAATAGTTATTACTGCGATGGTTTTTGTTTCGTTCAATCACTTCCGATAAAGAGATGTTTTTTTATAAAATTCGTCGAAATAATAATTATTGTAATAGGCGATTTGTAATAGTTACAATAGTTGTCTCGTTATTCAATTTCTACAATAGGCTAATTACCTTTGAATAAATGAAAAACTATTTATTTTGTTTACAGGATAACTTAGTGACATCTCAAATAGTCAACCTCAAAGCATAAACATATTTAACAATAATTTACGGTTGTGGTCGTATCGTTTGGAATATTGCCCGACTACTTTTTAAAAGTTTCTGCACCACTTATGTAAACATTGAGGCAAAAGTTAAATATTTATTTTAAACGTTTAAAAACTCTTATCTACCCCCTTCTCGCCTCCAGCATCCAGCTGGACCATCTTTTAACTCTAATCTCTTACCTCACCTTCATCATCCAGCTGTGTTCCATCTCAGCGTTCAGCTGAACCATATCAACTATAGTTTCTTATCCACCCCCTCCTCCAGCTGGACCATTTCTTAACGTCTAATCTCTAATCTCCTTCCTACTCACCTCCAACATCCAGCTGGACCATTTCCTAACCTTCTAATCTCTTTTCTTTAACCTCCTTCAACCAAATATTTTGTGTCTCCATAACAACAGTTATCCAACTTTATTTTATTATGTACGATACATTTTTTTGTGCAATCTTAAAAATCTGCATTTTTACAGTCCTTATCGACAATTGAATTAGTGCCATCGTTTAGCAGATTTGCACGCCTCGGACGTTATTCGATTTGCTCAGGACTTTTTTTTCCCAAGACGTACAAACGTAACAATTATTTAAACGAATCAAAAAACTACGAGTGTTTGCAGAAACGTTTTTTTTCTTTATTATTATTATTTGTACGGGCGTCTTAACGACAACAGCTCTTAAGCGCGCTCTCCTCGGCCCTCTTGCGCATATACAACCGAATAAATCGAAAAAACCGTACATCTTGTATATTGTGTGTATACATAGAGATACAGTGTACGTGAATTACTTCCACGACTCTTCACCGACAATGTCCACCGTTTGCATAGATTATTCACATGGGGCTAAAAAAAAAAAACCGTTTTTCCCGTTTTAGGCGACGACGACACGAGCACGGCATGTGACCGGAATACATTTTCCAATTTAAACAAGAAATAAATAAGAAATACCGCACACCGTTTACATGTACGAGCATAAGAAGAAGACGGCTCGTGTATTTCTTACGGGCAAAATTTATTTCTCGATAAACGCATTTTTTTTATATTATTATTATTATTATTGGTGTCCCCGACGGAAATCCCCTCTCTTTTTAACCCGCCCCGTTCACAAAGTACAACGGTATAATAATTTATACGAAGATATTTTTTTTTTTATAAACAGCTTGTCGGCAAGTATAAAAACGTTTTAACGTAAATAATATATTATCATACGAGCGAACATATATATATAGCGGTACTTAGGCAATATAATGTTTGTGCGGTTATACTTATCCCGAAGGGCTGCTGTGCGTTTTCAATTTCCTACTCCTGGGCGCAGTAATGAAAACCACCGCCGATACTTGTCGATGTAAGTTTAACGTATCCCGGACCCGGAGAGGGGAAGGGACGGGAGAGATGGGAGAAAAAGGTCACAATAAATTGTATATATATATATATATATGGAGGGGAAAAAAAAAGGTTACACGCGAACATAAATTATTGTTAAGGGGCCGTGACCGTTGTGCGGGAAGGGTTGGTATTTTTTTATTTAAAAAAAAATATATATATTATACAAAACGGTATAATTTGAAAATATCGACCGAACGAAAAACATTATTATTATTGCGGTCGGCCAATATTGATAATAATAATATGTGGCAGCAAAGCACGGTAAGTAAAGCAGCAGGTAATAGCAGCAAAGTATGTAGGTACATACACCGTGATGTAGGTGGGTGAACAAAAAAGTATACGATAATAATTATTACAGCCAATCGTTTTTCTTCAAATACAAAAACGGGAAATTTTGTGTAAGTACAAAACAAAAATAATATGTGCACAAAGTTCACTCACAAGTGGTCTTGTCTTTTGAAAGCTTTGCTGCAGACGTTACACACATACTTCCTTTCGTCGCTGTGTGTCAACTTGTGTTTGGCCAGTGCCGACGCGTTCCCGAACACTTTCCCGCAGGTCTGGAAAATACAAAAAAAATTAAACAAATATTTCATTAGTAAAATTAACGAAAATTTGCTTTCCTTGTGCACCTACAACCCCGGTGTAGTTTCAAACGACATTTGTATTTACAAGGGGGGAGGGGTTGTTATGGGGGATAGGACCGCCCCTCTTCACCCCTACAATTGACCGCAGAGTCAAAGATGTGGACAGCCAAGTATATTTATAGCTGAAAACATCACCGTCGACTCCATTGGTGGTTTACATGCGTTAGACAAAGTTTTTTGTCCAAATAAAAAATTCATAATAAGCTCTTGAGCATATTTTGCACACTGCTCGTATCGAATGCTACGCCTGAAAGATGTTTTCCAAGTTTAAAGAGGATTAAAGGTCTATCGCAGTACCAGTATGACAGAAGTGAATATTTTATAAGTTTTCCTTATTCATTATTGAAGCATAATTATACAATTTCATATACTGCCACTACTACTTTGACGTTAGGTTATTGATGAGTGGTGATTAGAAAAAAAAATTGTAAACTCGAATTTGTATTAATTTAACAAAACAAAGTATAGATATTGTTCATTAAATCTCAGCCACAAGCCTGTGGAGGGTAGGGTGCAAAAATAAAATATGTATACATTTTATTGTGTTTTTGTTTAATTGTAGAGGATCACTATTCGGGCGGGTAGGGGGGTGTATTTCATCCCCCTCTGCCTGAACAAATTCCAAAAAAACCAAGGTAGACTTATGTATCGCGCGTCTTATTAATGGCAGGTACCTAACAAAGGCCACAAAAAGAGATTGCTCGTAAAAGGCGACATTATTATTATTTCCGTTTCCGTTGTCGGTTTTTTTTAATGAGATTAATTAATTATGAGAATTCGTGTCAAAAACTTACAATAATTATTTGTGTCGAGCTCCACCCGATTTGTATTATTATAAGACGGTCGTTAATCAACGATCTTAATGTCTTCTCGAACGATTTTAACGAGCGTTCGTATAAAAATAATGGCTCCCCCCCCCCAAAAAAAAGGATAAGACGAAAAACCTATAAAAACAACATAAAAAAAAAGTCGACCCTGTGACTGTACACTGTCTTTTGCTTTGCAACAGCAGCAGTTACCGTGTGTCTGTGCATTGTGCCATTGGGGGAAATAAGATTTCACTAATAACTCATTAGCCGTGTACATAAATAATTGCTGAAGACCAGAAGGAAATGAACGAAGAAAAAAAGAGAAGCAATTACTGTTTTTTTCTTTTTCTTTTCTGAACCGACCGTTATCCTAACCGCGACACGGATTGAATGTAAATCTTTTCAAACAAGCGACGGGGGCGCACTTAAAAATCGCTTAAGTCATTTGTGCCGGGGCGTTATCTTACATTTCTGATGTACAACTCTTCTCGGATTATGTCGGTTTTTTTTGTATTCAACACGTCTCGTTAAAAAACATTTGTGTAACAACATTAAAGCGCTTAAGCGTTTCGTGTGTACTCGAGGAGGACTCGACGAGCCACTCCGGCGCGCGGTGTCTCATCTTTGTAATTATCTGGTCGTTAATCTTAATTTGCATACACTACACACACACACACGCGAGACGATATCACATTGTAATTACAAAACGAAATTACTATACATGTATATAATGTCGACCCGGGTCGATTGTCTTATATAATAGAATGTATTCAACTTGCAAACGGCGCGTTGACAGCTCCAAATGAACCCCCAAAGGAAACATAGACACATTTCACATGTCTTATCTACACCGGTTTGACTGTCGTAGTCAAAGAAGCACCAAGATCTTACCACAGATTACATAAACTCAGATATTATATATTGTCAAATAACGATTTTTCATTGGTTTAAATTATAGTGGCCACCATATTGTACAAATTATTTTGCAATAATAACGTAAACTGATAAGAATTACTGATAACAAATAGTTTATAGCGGTAACAATATAGATGCATGATAAAGTTTTATTTAACTACACTGTAGAAGAGAACGACTGTTTTTAAAAAAAAAAATGTTTGGTCACACTGATTTGAGATTATTAAAGTTTATTTACATCTGACTTTATTTATTCTGTGATCAAACGGACGGATTATAACTACATAATAAACAGAAGGCAATCTTAACTCTTAGAGTTTATCAAACAAAAAAAACGATCAGACGTATTGAGAAAAAGGCAGTGATACCAAAACGCAGATATTTTTTTTTAATTTTCTGTGATTTGTGGCTACACTGTTCATTTCTGATGTTAAGTTCAACATGCCGGACATGATTTCATAGATTATTTTTTGTTTTGTACTGTTGTGTTGTAACTAAACGGCCAGTTAGGCAGCCATTAAACGAGTATGGTAAAGTTTAAATATTATGTATTTTGTAATTTTCTTTTGAGCCTTAAACAGTTACGCTCTCCCTCGGGGACATTACCCCGAGGGAGTGATGGATGTTGTAAAAAAAAACAGGAACAACACAAATTTCCTTTTAACTCATTAGCGAGAAAATCCGATTTACACGGCAGCCGAACGACACGGTTCATTATAGACCAATAGGTTAGGTCTTCTTCTTAAACCATAGGTAATATTACCTACGTATAGATGTCGCTTATTCTGGTAACCATATTAAAAAAAAAACAGTAGTGATACTTTAATATATTCTCAAGTACTTTGGGCTTGGAATAAAGGAAGGGAGGCAGGGAGCAGAATGGTGAATATAATCAAGCCAAGACGTCCCCGGCCATACTCATAATACTTACACCGTGCACACTATAATAATATAGGGTTTATTATTATTACGATTACGACGTCAGGTCACGCTGTTGTATATATTTTTTTCCCTCTTTAAAAGTGGCTTTTTTTTTATTATTATTATTATTACCTATCTCCTCGTGTATGTATAGTATTTTTTTTTTTTTTGAAAACTTTGGCGGTACCATCATTTTGAGGGGGGGCATTCCGAGTGCTGTAAACAGCAGCCTGCGGTCGGCACGGTCCACGGTGAAATTTAATGAAACGCATAACTTTTAAAACTTTGCCCGGCGGCGATATTAAAACAAAGTGTGTGTACAAGTGCGGTTTACCCCGTTATTTATTTATAACGGGTCGCTGCTCTCTCTATCTCCGTGGTCTTCTTTGATGTTATATAAAATGCAAATGTTCTCGATGTCTTCGTTAACCCCCCCCCCCCGTCACCATCTGTCCGGCACTTTAGCGTCTGTCCCCCAAAGCTAGTTTATATATTTTCAGCGATCCGGTAATTATTTATACTGCTACCACTATCGTTTGAACTTTGAAACAAGTTATATATATATTTGACTCGGGTCGATGCATATTATTATAATAATATAATATAGATAGATAATACCGTAGGAAAAACCTCACCGCCATGCTTGAACCTAGTCAGGGTATATATTATTATTATAAAACGGTTCGGTGGACCTATATAATTTTACATTAAACGACGGATAAAACGGGCGAGTTTAACACGGGAGCAACTTTAATAATAGGAATCTGTTTTGAAGTTCAAAGTTCCAACCTATACACTAATATAGCTGATGTAATAGTGTACTTTCTACAAAAAATAACTACTCACAACGTTAAATAAATATTTAATAAACACCACTGAGCTGTAGCAACGATGTGTAAACACAAAGTAAAATAATATGCTTTCAATTACTCTCAGTTTTCAAGTACATATATTATATAGTACATGAAATTAAACGGAAGTAATGCCCGGGGATAAAAAAAAAATAATAAATTGATATTGATACATTTCTTTGTGAGTTATATTACAACTTGTGTTGATTCAATGTTTATTAATTTTTATACTGTTTTTAAATTAAATTTCAAATTACAGACTATTAAAATTGCATCTTTGTAATAGTTTTTCTTCTATCGTGTTGGTGTGTAGAATTGTGAATTCGAACACGATGAATTATGAACACAGCGAGTTGAGTAAGAGTAATAGTATGTAATGAAATTCGAATCAGACATTTGAATACATTTTGTGCGAGACAGGCGGCTAACCTTGAATATTTAAAATTGGTAAGAAACAAAGCTGGAAAAATGTTTGACGTTTTGCAGAAGTGAAGCAACGGCTAAACCGAGAAAACCTGATGTATTGGTTTGCTGTACATAAAAATATGCGCTATCAATCCAACGGAGTTTGGGCTGTTATATTTTTTTACCTTGTGCGCTTGTCAGGGGCGATGGAAAATAACCTAACCAATACTTATCGTTTTTCCATTTTTTTTGGAAAACTGTATTTATTTATGAGTGCTTGAAAACAAATGTGTACGGGAAACAACAGTTAAACGTTTGCCATTCACGTGGCCCGCGATTGACTGTATCCATAGTATAGTATCCCATTAGTGTCTCAGATATTCAATACTTTATACCATAAAGTTCATGTGTACTTATATATGGCGTGTATATGATTGATAGTTTTTCTACCGCGGTGCCTTCTCCGTGTTCTGCCGACGTTATGAATACATCATTACTTTATCCCCTCAGTGTGTGTGTGTGTATATATTGTGCATTTTATACAATCATAACATGGTCCGACGGCTCCTAATGTTGTTGTCGTTCACACTATTGTTTGTGTAGATTTTTTTTTTTATTAATGTAGGATTACCACATGTAGGGCGATGTTTGTGAAAAAAAATATATACATTTTATTTGAGCCGCGACGGTAGCAAAAATATATGGAAAATGGCAAATTTATGGAGGCCTAAACGCGTTATTTTCAATAAATAACAGGCGAACCGACTTTTATACATATTTACCGCACGGGGTCAACCGGAATCGAATACAAATGACTTGTACCGCATTTTTTATGGTGGCCGAGAAATTGACGTTGGACCGTTTCACAGTGTAAAATCCTTTTTTTTGGGTGTATACAGTATAGACCATAGTGTAACGGTATGGTCTAGGCGCAATCATTTTACCGTCAAAGTCCAACAATGGACCCGCGTGACCCGTTTTCCACACATCTAATGGCGGCTACGTGATGTTG